AATGAAACAAGTTATATGAATTGTTGAATGTGAAACTGATGATGTGCCCTGTAAACTTTCACTCAATCCACAATAAAAACCTTAAATTAAAAAAAAAAATCATCCTGTTATATTTGATCAAACATTTAACTCTCTGACTCAAAGGCACTTAACAACAACAACGTGATGGCTGGGGACTCTTGGTGTGGTACTGTAGTATACAGCACAGAACCACAAAATCAGTTTGAACCATAAGATCAGCAGTTCAAACTCACTATCTGCTCCTTGGAAACCCTATACAGGGTATCTATGAGTTGGAACATATTCTATGTCACTTGACAACAATGGCAATGTGATGGTTGGAGTCCTGGTGTGATACTGTAGGATAAGGACTGGACCACAAGCCAGTTAGAATCACAAGGTCAGTGGTTCAAACTCACAAGCTGTTCCTTGGAAACCCTAAACAGGGTTGCTATGAGTTGGAACCAACTAGATGGCACTTTAACAACAATAACAACATGCTGGTTGGAACTGTGACTGCCTTGGCAGGACCAGACCAAATGATTTTGTGAACCTTATATGGCCTGCAGGCAGAACATTTCCCCATCCCTGCTATATAGGGTCACTATAAGTTGGAATCAACTTGATGGCAGTGTTGTTTTTTTGTGTTTTTTGTGTGTGAGTACAATGACCAGAGTCAGACTAATTAGCATATTACCTGGTGATTTTCCCTTTACTGTTAGAAAAAAAACACTTTCCCTCACTTTTTGGGATTATTAAGCAGGCAGGATGTGAGTATTGTGCTGTGGGTGCCTATGCCTACTACCTTATGAAAAAGCATGCCTGAGATAGAATCCAACACAAAGAAGAGCTGAGAAGCAGAGTGAGTCATTATTGTGATGAGTCTCTGAATCCAGCCATACTTTTCCCTAGAGTTTTAGTAATATGAGCCAGTAAATTCCCTTTTTAAGTTTAGGTTAGTTAAAGTGAGTTTCTGTTAATTCAAAACAAAGGAGTTCTAATGCAGCTGTTTCCTAAAATTAATGCAATACTCTTCATTAAATATCTCATTATCTAACATTTCATATGTATGATAA